TCTTGGTTGCTTTTGTACAGAGCCAGTCATCGCCAACAAGTGGTTCCTGGAACGGATAGCAGCTATACGTCAGTCTCTTGATGAGCAGGCAATCAACCTTTCCAAGGTGCTAAGGTTTCTGATAAGGCTTCTCCATGCCCGACCAAGGACTCTTCCACTTGCCCAAACTGGCTCAACTTTTTCGCTGATCATACAAATTCTCGGGTGGTTGGCGCTGCAGTGGCCATCTGAACATGCTGACGACTGCGCGGGATCCTGCAAGACCCAGGCTGTTCATCTACCGATCTTCGATCCCTTCCCAGCGGATGTGACTAGGGCAATCAGTGCCGGCTGGCTGAATGATATCAATACCACGCGAGTACCTGAACGACGACGGCCAGAGCGCAGAGAAGCGAGAGCACGGGGGCCGCCTATGTGTCGGCAAGCACGCAGACACCGTGTTTCGCTGGCTGGCGGCCTGCTGTTGCTGTGTGTGTGTGTGTTTGCTGCCTTCCTGCTCCCTAACCCCCCTCGTCTGGTTTCCGTCACTGCTTGGGCCCCTCACAGTTCCATCAGCCAAGACTATCGTTATTTTCAGTACCTTATATTCCGGATGCCCATATGAGGCTATGCTCAGCGGTTGCCTCCTGTTCAGCCCTAGTAGGACGACGAAGGCGACTATTCTGCTATTTGCCGTGTTACAGCATGTCGCAGCTCAAATGGCTCCGACTGCTCTGTCAAGCAGAGGTCATACACTCCCCTACAATATCCTTGTCATACTCCCGGCAAAAGAGTCCAACAACGACAAATTCGGTTTGACCATCGAGCGAGCACGACCTGTCATCGACATAGCCGTTGAGGATGTGGTCAAATCGGGTCGAATGCCTCCCGGATGGGTAAATCTCACGTTTTGGGACGACCGATATTGGGAGGACACCAACTTAGCCGAGCGATACGCCACCGTCGGTATGGTGAAGGCATACTGCGAACGTCGTCTTGACGCCATCTTGGGATTCGCGGACAGCTACGGTCTAGCAACGGTCACCAAAGTCTCAGCAGGGTTGAATGGTGGCGTGCCGGTGCTGACCACGGCTGGAATGCCTTCGACATTGAATTTGAAGAAAACTTATCCGTTTCTAACTAGGATGCAAGGGTCATATTACCAATTGGCCGTGTCCATGTATCAGCTAGTGGCGTATCAAGATCCCGCTGATGAAGAGCATGTCGTACCACCCCGCAATGCTTCCTCTATTTGTCTGAATTACCTGAAGATGCTATTTCTGTACCACGACAAGAAGCGAGCTGTGAACAAGCCAAATCACAGTGATAGCCGGGAATCGGAAGTCTCATCCTCCCACTGCTATTTCTCACTCTACGCCATTAAGAACTATTTCACTGAAAAGAGTGAACTATTCAAACGGGAATGGCAGTTGAGTACGCCTTCTTTCCCTTTCGATGAGGAGATGCCCCGTACAAGAGAGACCACAAAACAGTGGTTACAACAGATCTCCATGGACACGAATGGTGGGTCGAATGTAAAGCATTCTTATGTTCTTTTATGGCATTTTTCATTTAATTGTTTCGCTCTTGGTTGCTGTTTTTCTGATTGTTTTGGTGGAGGACATTCATATGCAGAGTACCTTGGGTTGTATCGTGATAATCGCAAAATTTCTCCCGATTGCTCGATTGTTTCGTTCGCTTTGACCACCACTCTTTTCTCCTACAAGTCTCCTACGAAAATGTTTCTTCCCACTCCGCAGCTCCATTCCACGATGGCGCACCGTGTCGTTTGTTTTTCGTTGGTAATTATTGATTAATTGATGAGATTGGACAGTTTTTCGAATGTTTTCCTCGACCAGCAGGTTTCTGTATAAGGTTGGCAGCCGGTTGTACATGATGAAAGGGCCTCGGTATAGAAGGCGAAAGTGGCGAGAATGATCGGCTAAATGAAGCTTGACGGCTCTCTCGTAATGAGAGGAGGACAATTTTGAAAAGTGCGACGACGAGGAAAAAGCCGCACCTAAATGAGCTTTGTTAGGCTGTCAACGATTGCGGGGGGACACCGGGGATGCTCATTATCTGGTAGGTGAGCGAACGCGCAGCCCGGCTCCCTGACGGCCTTTCAGTGGAGATTTCTTTCCCCTCTTTCGATATGATCAATTATCCGAGAAACTCCCTGTAAAGGTATCTGATTATGGCCAAAATCTCTCTTACGGTTTTCTGGATATCGAAGTTTCTATGTATGAACATGAGATGAGTCCAGTTTGATTGTCTCACCATAAAATTTATGTTTTAATCACGAGATTGGTGAAAACATATCGTTCTCATAATCACCATTTGCTCTGTATCGATGAAAAGAATGAAATGGACTTTGAGGGATACCGTAATAAGGAATCTCTCGACCCTGGTCTTGCCTGGTTTTCTCAATTTATGTCTCCTCTATATTGCGATTTTAATTTGCTGCAGTTTATCACCTTTCGTAGCACCATCTATGGGATGAATGAACTCGTAAGAAATTTCCAAAGAACGTCTTATTGGCAGTTTGAGAGACACAACTTCGCTTTCACTCCTTGAAATTGTGCTCCTGTTTTTCGTTCTCGGGGAAACTTCAGATTAATGAACCGGCTACGACTTTCCCGAGAACAACCTGATTAGGACTAAGTACTTAAGGATAATTTCTCGAGATCTTATCGCAGACAAGAGGTTCTAACTTAATTTTCTCCTACTAAGAGGACGTTTAGGAAGTTGAAGGGCTTCGGGAACTGGATGCAGATGAGGTGCTTCATAGTGGTTCTTTTTCCGCCTTTTTGTATATAAGTTCATTTTCTAACAATTTTCCATGATTTGATGGATTTTGCTTCGAAAATTTCCTTTCGCTTCCTTTTGCGGCACGAAAAGTGTCCTGCAGACGGCAAATACTCAAGTAGGAGCTCAGAAATTCCCACAAACCTTGTTAGATTTACTGGCTTGATGCTGTTTCTGACATTCAACAAAAAGAAATGCTGGTTGTGAGTCTTCCCTTATAATATAATAGCTAAGAACGAGTACGCTTTCTGTTTCTTGAAGCAACATACACTGTCTGTCGTTTCGATTCGAATCAAAAATACATCTTTGCTTTTCATTTCATTATTTGCTTTTGCCTTTTGTGATCATCCCCTTCTTCCTCATCTAACCAAACCTTCCAATTTCTTGAAGCAACATACACTGTCTGTCGTTTCGATTCGAATCAAAAATACATCTTTGCTTTTCATTTCATTATTTGCTTTTGCCTTTTGTGATCATCCCCTTCTTCCTCATCTAACCAAACCTTCCAAAAGTGGCACCTTGTCAAGAAAATTAACGCATTCCTTTTTTGTGTGACATTTCCTGATGCAGAGCGTTGCACAAATTGTCTTTGAACGGCGATAACAATTGCGTTCAAAAAGCTCAGTTTGGTGTGGTTCATGGAAAATATTCATGAACAATTAGACATGGTACAGAGAAGAAATAGTATTGTTGAATGGAGGAAACGGTGCTCTTCAAATCTTTGGTCGCCTTGCCCTTTCATCTGAACACAGACGAAAATTTCTTTCTGCGACTATCCTACAAGGGTCGGAGCCTTCGGCCAACATGAAGCAGCTGTTGGTGTTGACATTTCTTGGCGTTGCTGAAACCTCTGCAAACAGCACCATATCACTGCACAGGAATCGTTGAAATGCCGAGAGTTTGCTATGACATTCTTGATGAACATTTCTCTATTCTTTGGTATTTTTTCTTCTTTTATTCATAGGTTCTACAAATAGTGCTTAAATATTGTACGGCCGAGGGCTGAAATTGTGTTCAAAGGAATTCCTTGTTTTCTGTTAAGCCTGGTCATGAGGCCTGATGTTTTAGTTAGACGTCTCCACTCCTTCTCTATTCGAGGAACTCCTCTGGGAGTCTGCAAATTGCAGTCCACCTCCTAATTTTGAGAAAGTTCCTCGTGTTCATACTATCTTCAACTGTTTTCTAAAAGTATTCAAGTACAGAGCTGTGACGATCATTATGTTCGCCATCAGTCTATTCCTGTGCAGGGACATGAAATCGCAATGTTCAAAGTCACTAGGGATTATTTCTCATGTAAGCTAGCAGGCTTCCAGCGATCGCTATTGCTCATCCTTGGCTCTTGACTAATGGCAAACATTTCGTAGCGGTTACAGAGTACCTTCCATCTGAGAACAGTCCGATGAACTCGTTTTGCTCTCATGCCTTCCTTTCTTAGAATGTTTTGGAATTTTCGATTATTTCTTTATGCCAGTTCAATACTGAACGAACTCATCGCTCAAAATTTTTGTAATTTTCTCATGCTCCAGAGATCAGTTCCTGAGCGAATCTTTAGCTATGAGATTTTTCTCGCATTTTTCTTTGAGATAACGACCCATAAGTTCTCTAATTCCCAGTTATTTCGAGATTTGGAGGGGGTGAGAAGTGGTGCAACATATGGTGCCCTCATGGGAACCGATTGGGTTCACAGATGTTCCCAGAGCTTAATATAATGGTTCTTCATTCATTTGATGATGTATGTTTTCAAACTTTCTTCAAACTTCAGTCAGCTTCCCGTTCTCAGTACATGTCTTTACGTTTTTTACATTTCCGACAGCCAGATAAGAGGTGCTTTGGCAGCTTTGAAATGGGCGTTTTGCCTCTCGCCAATCCACTTTCTCAGAGCGTCGATTTTATTTTGTCGTTTATCTTCTTTTGTTATGTTTGCTTTCGCATTTTTACGATCCTTGTAAGAACTAAGCTTCCCCTCAATACTATGCTTTCTCCGGTTTTATGAGAAAGTACGAACAACTGAGCTGTTGAAGCTCAACTATGAAGTAGTGTCTCCCACCTCCCGTGAAATGGTCAGTGAAGTCGTCTTCCCGAGAATGAGGTGATTCGGCAAAACCTCTCAATACGAACTTCGCTCAGCTTGCGAAAACTGTTGTTTTGGTATTAAACAAGTTTGATTGATGGCTCGACCCGAGCAACATGAATTTTTAATGGGGTCGTTCATACATGCGTCACATGTTCACAAGAACAGAACGACCGGGCAAACTCAGGAACATAAATAAATAATAAACAGTTATGTGATTATCTATTGATTAGCATTCAGAAATGTTCTTTGACGGCAGCACCTTCGCTTGGCGTTGATTCTTCCCCTGGCTCTTATCAATCAATCGATCGTGATGTTCAGATAGGGAGGGCAGCGGGGAACGCTACTCCCTATTGACCGGTCTCCGATACGTACGAATTCAAATGGGTGGGGGAGATTCACAGTTTCATAGTTCACATCGACACTCTATTTTGAGAGGATGGCCTTATTGAACATGTGGACGGATTTGAACCCATAGAAAGGTCCCAAAAAGAAATTTCAATGTTTTGGAGGAACTTTTTTTTTCGGGGACTCTTGGATATGTTTTTGGCTCCATCTATTACAGTAATTTCCAAGTAACTAGGTCTGTAGTTTTACAATAATTTTTCTTCATTCTTCCTCCAATCGAGAATTTCCCTATTTTATCTTTTTTTATCGACTGTATGAACTCAAGTAGAATCCCACTCAGGACAACAAAGGTTTTCATCCCTTTGGGATTACTTGTAAGAGTGAATTACTGCCTTGTATCGCTCCAGCGAACTATGAAGAGGCCAGGATGCCCAATAGAACCCAAATAAGTATGCGAACGATTATGAATATTTCCGAAAATATTTCACGAAAAGATGCGTGATACCACTAGAAATTAATCTTTGAAAGTGCTTTCTTTCAAAAAGATGATCTGGATCTTCGTTTTCTTCATCCGCGCCATCTTGAAGACAATTCTGACGGATTAAATGGAATCGCGCCGCTTAGATTCGGGTGGTTTCCAGAGTCTTAATGTCGGGCTTTTTCGGAAAAAAAGTATATTGTATTGGATTTCGCACTTAATGGGCTCTATTCCTCGATCAAGAATTCATGAAAGTATTAATACCGTTATTATATAGTAAAATTAATAATTCTTCTATTTCGCCCACCCTTCGTAATCATTGCCTAAGATATCCGGATTTCCTTGCACTCATGGGAATCCGTAACAACGCTCCAGTGCTCAAGAGAGCCTCGGGAGGG